TTTTATTTATTTATTTATTTATTTATTTGAGAGACAACACGAACAGGGGGAGAGGGAGGGGCAGAGGGAGAGGGAGAAGCAGACTCCCCGCTGAGCAGGGAGCCCAACACAGGGCTGGCTGTATCCCAGGACCCTGAGATCATGACCTGAGCTGAAGGCAGACACTTAACCGACTGAGCCACCCAGGCGCCCTTGACTACTCTTCTTAAAATAAAACATTGATTGAATTATACGTATACACACACATATATACATATATGTGATAAGGTGTTCAAATGGATAGTATCTGTCAGAAATTTAATGCATAGATTATTTAGCATAGTACTGTTAGAAATTTGAGCATTGAGAGCTTCAAATTTTGTCCTTAAAAATTCAAGTTAGTTTACATTTTCTTGAAGTGAGATTGAAATTACAATGCCTCAAAAGTCCCAAGTATTTACCATATTAGTTTCAGGAGCTGTTCTCAGTTACGGAGATACAGCTCCAAATCCTCAAAAGGGTCTAAGTATAAAAAGCGCCTAGCCCAACATTCCTTATTTTTATCCTCCCAAGAGATTACACAGGCTCCCTGAACACTTTTCTTCATTGTTCCACAGGTGAAATGACTTTGCCTAGTCGTCTTTTTGTTCTCCCATCCTTCCTCTTCCACTGCAAAACCTTCTGCTTAAAATATTGGCTTATTTTCAGTTACAGGGACCCTCTTACCATCTGCCATGCTAAGAAATTCCTGAAATGGACCCAGGTAAACAAGGTGAGTATTATTCTCAAGTTTCTGAGCACAGTTTGTAAACAAAAAAATGAGGCACAGATGTTGTATTTTCAGACTTCTGAGTTGCAGAAGAGTAGACATTTGACATCTGGCATAGAAAGAAACTAGTGGGTGATTAAAAAGATTTTCTTTTTTTTCTAAACAGAAATTCATAATGTATGGATGAGTGTTTGGTCTATTGTCCCCAAATCACCAACAGTAATTTAACAAAAGACTTATTCTCAATATAATTACACTTTAAATTGTTATTCAAATATACAAAAAGTGGCTTATCTTATTTTTGTATATTTTCATGGTTTACTATTAAAATGACATCACTGTAGATATTTTAATGTCAAGGGTAAGTTCACAGTACTATGTGGGCCCAAAATTGGGTGAAAGTTCTCACAGCTGACACTGTATAAATATTTCATAAATGGGTACGAAGACAGTAATTCTCCTTTCTACCAATACCTCTGAATGCTGTGGTAACCCCAGGAGTGTCTTGTGACTTTTTTTTTTTAAGATTTTATTTATTCATTTGCGAGAGAGAGAGCATGAACAGGGGGAGGGAGAGGGAGAAGCAGACTCCCCTGCTGAGCAGGGAGCCCAACACGGGGCAGGTTGGGGGGGGCGGTGCTCGATCCCAGGACACTGGGATCATGGCCTGAGCTGAAGGCAGACCCTTAACTGAGCCACCAAGGCGCCCAAGAACATGCATTTCTAACAAGTTCCCAGGTGATGCTGATGCTGCTCACCTAGAACCACACTTTGAGGACCACTGGCCAAAAATACCTATTTCTGGATCATCCCACTAGAGATGATGGACATGTTTATTACATTCTCAGAATCTGTAGGAAGTGACAAAACAAGAATCATTTAAAGCAAAACATGTTTCCCAGTCAAATTGCTTCCATGAACAAGACCATGTGTAGCTTGTATTATTATTTCTTTAAGCATCTAAAACTACTTTCGTCATAGCTTTGGGCCTCATACATCAAACGACTTCTTCCTTTCTTGAGTTTTCTCCCACCAGCAGGAAAGGAAAAAAAAAAGAGCCTTTAGGAAGCAGAGCTGGTAGTGAATCACCTGGGATGTTCATTCATTTTCCACGTTGTACTCGATCACAGATTGCCATGTTATGCTGCATAACTTCATCAGATGACACTGCAAAACATAATTTGACAGGAGTGCCATGGGCCAGATGGTAGAGCAGCTACCGAATGGCTCTTCGACCAACGGCAGCATCTGGGAAAACCTGCAGAGCCCCGAGTTTGCTGAGTCTCTGGATTCATTTGGTGCATCTGAGAACCAGGGCACAAAAACTGGCCAATTTCTAGAAGGAAAGAAAATGTTGGGCATTACAGTTTTGTGAACTATTTTCACACTATTCTGGCTACTCTCAATTTGTTTTCCTTCTCCAGATAGAGGGCAGAGGTGCTTCTGACTTCTCCATACTCTAATGCTAGACTCAGCTGAAAACTGAAAAGAATTTTCAGAACATAGGGAAATATTAAATAACAAAAGATTTAGAGCAAATTGTAGCTTCTTTGATATGGTTGCACCTGTTCAAAAAAAAGGGGGGGGGAGGATGTGGAAGGTTCTTAAGATCGCTTGTTTAATGATATTTTTAGGCACATTGACCTGAGGTAAGTGTCTTCCACTCATGATCATATATCAATCATTGAATTAGGGTATGTTTCAGGAGAAGCTGTTGGTTTGCTCTAACTCCCCAGGGGTGGATCTGACCTGGTTTGGCACCATAAGCCCCTCAGTGGGTTAGCACAGTGCCTGGTACTCAATACCCATGTGTGTAACAGCTAGGACTTTTCCCCACAACACTCCAGGGCGAGAAACATTATTTTCTAAACCAAAACCAAGTCACTGTGGCTTGGTATGAAATTTCGACTCAGTTAAGTTTGGGAAGGAGCCATTCCTTAAAGACACGATAAAAACCTTGAAGGTTCTTAGGGTGAACATCTGATCTGAAGTATTCAGGACATCCTGTCCAGGCATCAACCTCCCCTCCCCCTTCAGGAAAGAGACAGCCTTAGCTAGAGCAACACTGAAATCAAGATTGGTTTTCAAGGCAAGGGGAGTCCAGAATGTGTGTGCAAGGAAGAGGAGCTAGGAGAGAGGATGAGGTTGAGGATTCAGAAAGTGAGGGATCCCGGTGGTATTTGAGGTAATGAACCTCTTCTTCTGGTCACCCAGCACCCATTTGGCTTTCTTCTGGTGAACCAGTGGCCCTGTTCTGCTTTGGAAGAACAACCTGCCCTTGATCTTGGTCCTTGAAATTCTATTATTATTGAGTCAAACTCTCCCATTTCCATGAGTGGCTTGAGTTCTTTGATGGGCCTTTCATAAGAAGGCCTGGGTGGGCTGACTTCAAGGAGGCCCCTTAAGCACAGAGAAGCTATTCAAACTTCCAAAGGAGTAAAAAGAGTTTAGACCTTGGAACACACACAGGAATGGACATGGAAAAATTGCCTCTTCATCCTCTAAATTCTCCCACTTCTGCAAGAATAAGAAGGAAACTAATATCACCATAAAATCCTGCCACATATGTTTGAATGGATGAAATTGACTAAGCAACCCCTTGATTTGTTTTGCTGTAGGGCCTGCTTAGCAGCAACTAAAAGGCTGCCTGTGTTTCTAGTCTCCAGCACACATACCTATTTATCTGATGAAGAAAATGAAGATCAAATAGTAAACTAATTTCCCCAAAAGAAAAAGGAACTAGTTATGGCTCCAGAGCTTTCTCTTCTCCACCACACTGTGAAAGGGGCATATGAGCACTCGGGCCCTGGTAAGGGCTCAGAACTGTTAGCCATTGTTGTAGTGTTTTTGGTGGTGGTAACTCTCAAAAGAAGGTATATTAATAATTCTTTTCTGATTATAAAAATAACATATGCTCCCTATAAGCACATTGAGGTGATATCAACAAGTAGAATGAAAATAACTATACTAAGAATTCAAGCAACCAGAGATAGCGTCTATTAACAATTTCACAAATGCCCCTAGAAATTAAGCTCCACGTGGCAGGGATTTGTATCTGTTTTGTTAACTGCTGTATTTCAAGGGCCTAGAATCATGCTGGGGCCATATAGTAAGAGCTCAACGAATATTTGCTGAAGGAATGAATGGATGGAGAGCTTTTGTGTCACTCTCATATATGCATAAATTCATGTGGGTATATCTGACCAGAATATATTAACAAAATCGACTTTATATTCTACAGAGTTTTTTTAATCCTATTTGTTTCATAAGGCTGTTTCCTTTTTTAAAATATTTTATTTATTTATTTATTTGAAAGAAAGAGCACACACACACACAAACACACACACGAGTGGGGAAGGGGAGGAAGGGGCAGAGGGAGAGGGAGAAACAGACTCTCCACTGAGCAGGGAGCCCTGACGCAGGGCCAATCCCAGGACCCTGATATCACGACCAGAGCTGAAGGCAGATGCTTAACCGACTGAGCCACCCAGGCGCCTCTAGGCTGTTTCCTTTTTATATAAAAAGTTTAGTAGACTCAGAGGATGTCCTGTAGGGTCACTTGCAGCCTAGGACACTGAAACCATTATTTTTGTTCCCAGGTAGGAAAGAGAGCTCTAGACTTTGATTTCCTCACCTGCAAAATAACTACAGGGCTACGTGATCTCTAGGATTCCCTTCTCGGATGTGGGATTTATCTAATGAGACCGTCCTTTATCCATGATATTTCATGTTTTCTTTCCAGATGCCCTTAACAGTATTGAGAATTCCATTTACAGAACAGCCTTCAAATTACGATCAGTGCAAACTCTGTGCCAATGTAAGTACAGAATCTCTTTAAAAACTTGAAATAATATGATGCTGATGTGTGATGTAAAATTCACAGAGAAAACAAGAATTCCCCCATGTGAGTGACTGCTAGCTCCAGAAGGTTGGATCTATGCATTTACCCCATTAGTAACAGAGAAGATGGAGCAGGGAGGGTACACCCTGTATGTGCTGCCCATGTGGAGCTTCGTTGCCCGACAAGAGAAAATAACTTGTGGACGAGGGTTTAAATTTTTTTTGTTTCATTTTTCCTACTTGGTTTCTGGACATTTTTTGTTTGTTTCCTTTTTAGGATACCAATATTGACACAAAATAAAACTGTAAAATAAGTTAGTTTAGAATCTACACTTGTAGATTTAATCATGAAAATTAAAAATTCCTTCTACCACATAAGATTGACATTTTGAAATCGTACCCCTCTCTCTGAACATGCAAAAGTACGTTCAGATGAGTCATCCTTGGGCCACAAATCTTAAAACTATCTTAAGAATTCTCTGAGAACTGCTTTTTTGGGGATTAAATTTATAACTGGTTGAATGCCATGATTTTCTTTTCCTATATTGTTATCATGGGTAAAATAAGTCCAAATATGGTAAAAATGTTTATTTAGTAAAAATCCTCCAAAATGAAATAAATTGGGTTCTATGTATGAAAAACAACATGGATTCAACCTAGCTAAAGTTATTGATTTCTAATAAGTTCTAATAAGCATTTCATGTGAAGTGATTTATGATATTTATCAGATCAGACCTTAAAGAATTTGTGTTATACATACGACTTTTCTCCTGAAGTTTGGAATTTTTTTCATAGTTTGCCTTCTGCCTAATAAGTTATTTAGACCAGTGGTTTTCAAATTGTGCTTCACAAAGTGGGGTAGAAGTAGGGCAGGAAAGGAAGTAGAGGCAAGTGAGGGAAACCCAAAAGACCATCTCTTCAACCAATTCAACTCGTTTTCTCTATTTTCCCTACTGCATTCTGTAAAAGGGTCTTTGAATAAGGGATTCTCAGCTTTAAAAAAAGATTTTTGACAAATTCACTTATAACTATTACTTATTATTCCAGGGATCAACAAAAGGCAGAGTATGTTCACCAAAAATTTACCCTGAATTTTGCTATTTTCCTGGGGAATTTCTCCCATTAAAGAAAGTTAGCAGCAAACGTTCGTGTAAGCCTCCTTCATTAATGCCTGGGTGTGGACCAACAGTAGAATTTGAGGATATACCTTTTTGAACGTCCCCCTCCCCGCATTAGAACCTGAATAATACTCATAGGGAATATTAACAATACACAAAACCAGTAGTTCAAAGTTCTCCCTAGAAAAGATAGTTAAACAATAATCTGAAAACAAAAAAGTCCCAAAGCCTGAGATAAAGCACACCGTGAGCTTGAGGCGGCAGGATCTCAGAGCACGACATAAATATTGTGGAGAGACGCTCGCACACCACCATCATCTGTTTTGCTGTAATACGGAACTCGCCGCAGAAGACAAGAATGCCCTGTGTACAGCACGCGGGACAAGGTGATGAGTTTGGCGATTGAATCACGATAAAACAGTTTGCACCTTCCACCACCTCCAGCCAGGTTGTTATTAAAGTCACATCCGAAAATCTACTCCTCACTTTTGTAGACTCTCCCCTTGAAAGCAGGATCAGAGAACACATAAAAAATTTTATTATACTTGCTAGATTTCTTATCTGTAAGGCTGATTTACGAAGTAGAGAAAAGCGCAGGGTTTTATCATTCCACAGACTGAAGCATTTTCAATACCAGCAGCTCTGGGCGCCCCTGACATCCTCATCTCTCAGATGGTGTAAGTGGGTGTTTATTAATTTTGTCTGTTATCCTCTGTCTGCAAGAAACCATAGGGTTAGCTCTATTTCATTCTTCCTTGTATTCATTGCCTTGTAAAATTTTTAGGAGGTGGTAAAAAAAAATGTAAGAAATAAACCATTATTTTTTGTAAGCAACTTTGGCATTAAGTGCCTTCCCTAGATAATAATACCGATGGAACCAAGATCAACAGAAAGAAATATTGAGGCAAGGGCAGGACCGGCAGAGTCCGATAATTCAGCAACCACTCTTTTATAAAGATCACTGGGTTTTTGGGGGGGCGCCTGGGTGGCTCAGATGGTTAAGCATCTGCCTTCGGCTCAGGTCATGATCCCAGTGTCCTGGGATCGAGTCTGCATCGGGCTCCCTGCTCAGTGGGGAGTCTGCTTTTCCCTCACCCTCTGCTTGCCTCTCGGCCTACTTGTGCTCTCCCTCTCTCTCTCTTTGTCGAATAAATAAATAAAATCTTTAAAAAAAAAAAAAAAGGTCCCTGGGTTTTTTAACTTAGGCAAATGCATTTAACACAATATTCCTTCTGAAGCAAAGCTGCAGACAGGGAAAACTATATTTGAACATGAAAGATAAATTTGCTCAAATCACTTAAGCAGCCTAAAAAATGTTTTCACCACTTCTCAGCACAGTGCCCTAACTTCCTTGGAAGGCTGTTTTTCAACTTTCTCACTTTTTTCCCCTTTCAACTTCATTCTATAAAGCAACATCCTAGAGGTTACACTAGGAATAATGTCATAACTAGGCTTTGCTAACAGATGTCCTTTTCCAAAATCAAACCTGCTGTTCGACTAATAGGCCTGAATTCTACACAAGAGATATGCATCCCAATAGTGTTCATATTCTAATTCCCTTTAAAGAAAATGGCTGCCATTAAAGAAGTCTTAATTAAACACTAGATGACATTTGCTTTATTTGAAGCCTTTGTTCCCATCAGAAAATAAGACAATTTCTACACCAAAAACTAATGATGTATCGTATGGTGACTAACATAACATAATAAAATTAAATTTAAAAAAAAAAAAGACAATTTCTTGTTTGCTTTCCACAGTGGACTTGATGGACAGCACCCTGATTCAGCACGTCCTCTTACGTCACAGCCTCTGGGAAGCAAGAGAGAGCCCCCTCCCTGTGCAGCAGCTCTTTCGGGCTCTTCAGGAGCTGTTTCAGAGAGTCACGGTGGAAAAACCAGGACAGGTGCATCCCAGAGCTTCAGAACTCACTCTGAGCCTTCTCACAACGATGTATGACAGGTGAGGGTGTGAAGGTCACGCTGTGGTCTCAAGGACAGTGTTTAGTCACCACTGGTCATTGGCCACCTGGTGTTGTCTAAGGTTTGCTTGAGGTTTGTTACATAAGAAGGCTTCTTTGTTTTCCACAAATGTAGTATTCATTCAGGAGGGGGACGAAGAAGTACATGTTTATCAGCTTCACTAATATAAATGACCCGTGAATAGCAAAAAGGGAAAAACAAATCCACATTACTTTTGTCTCATGCAAACTCATTTCCACTCTGGACGCATGCACACCTTTTGCTAGGGTGGTTATCTAGCTATACATACAAAAAACCACACTTTTCTCTTATTTCTTTGCTCATGTCTTATTACCAATGATCAGTTTTTGTTTTATTTCTCAGGTGTAGTCATGTTGATCAACCTATGCGTGAGTGGCTAACCTACGGTCTTAGTCTGTTTGGGCTGCTATGACAAAAATACTGTAGACCAGGTGGCTTGAACAACAAACATTTATTTCTCACAGTTCCTGAGGCCAGGAAGTCCGAGGTCAAGGTGCCGGCCATTTCAGTGTTTGGTGAGGACCAGTTTCTTGATTCACAGAGAACTGTCTTCTTGCTGTGTCCTCATGTGGTAGAAGGGGTGAGGGAGTTCTCTGAGTTCTCTTTTATTTTTTTTTATTTTTATTCTCTGAGTTCTCTTTTATAAGAAGAACACTGATCCAGTTCATGAGGGTTCCACTCTCATGACCTAATCATCCCCCAAAGTCCCACCTCCAAACTTCATCACACTGGAGGTGAGAATTTCGACATAGGAATTTCAGAGGGATCCAAACATTCAGTCCACTGCACCTGTAAGCCAATTTAGACCATGTCAAAGGCTTGATTATGCATGCCACGGGGTAAATGATGTGTGTGTGTGTGTGTGTGTGTGTGTGTGTTTTCCACTGGCTCTGGGGTTTACCATTCTTCTGTCCCACTTCATTCTGTTTACCTTATGTGGTCTTGACCAAGTAGGCCTCATCTTTTAGAATGGACTTTAAAAAATCATAGTAAATATAAAACATTTGGAAAGTGCAGAAAAGAGCAAAGAAGAAATGTCACCCCAATCCTGGCTCTCAGAGGCAAGCACAGTTTAGCCATCTGGCAGATTCCTAGTGTTTCCTTTTCTAGTTTATTATTTTTTTATTGCACAAATAATACATAAACATGTTCTCAAGTTATTTTTTCATTATTTCAGACTCCTTAAGCATTAAGCTATTTTTTTTAAGATTTTATTTATTTATTTATTTTTCAGAGAGAGAGAGAGAGAGCACAAGCAGGGGGAGCAGCAGGCAGAGGGAGAAGCAGGCTCCCTGCTGAGCAAGGACCTCGATGCAGGACTTGATCCCAGGACTCTGGGATCATGACCTGAGCCAAAGGCAGACACTTAGCTGACTGAGCCACGTAGGCGTCCCTAAGCATTAAGCTTTTGAGGGGGCACCTGGATGGCTCAGTCAGTTAAGCGTCTGACTCTTGATTTCAGCTCAGGTCATGATCTCAGGATAGTAAGATCGAGCCCCACTTTGGGCTACACATTGGGCTTGGAGCCTCTTAAGATTCTCTCTCTCACTCTCCCTCTGCCCCTCCCCCATCAAAAAAACTTTTTTTTTTTGCAAAAAAAAAAAAATCCTCCAACATTAAGCTTTTGACTATCATTTCTTTTTTTTTTTTTTAAAGATTTTTTTTTATTTAGTTATTTGAAAGAGAGAGACACAGTGAGAGAGGGAACACAAGCAGGGGGAGAGGGAGAGGGAGAGGGAGAGGGAGAAGCAGGCTCCCTGCAGAACAGGGAGCCTGATGTGGGGCTCAATCCCAGGTCCCTGGGATCATGACCTGAGCCGAAGGCAGACGCTTAACCGACTGAGCCATCCAGGCGGCCCTATTTATTTTTTATTTGAGAGAGAGCATGAGAGTGG